AAAAAAAAAAAAAAAAAAAAAAGCCAAAGAAGCAGAACTGCACAACACTGACCAACTTGTACTGGTCCATCCCAGCATCCATTCCATCATTACATGCCTACGTTTTCTGCATACTGTCCGGTTTGTATCGTCTCCACAATCCAGCATACAAAGGGGTTAAGTTTGCTTTAAAAAGTTGAGACTTTCATTGAAACAGAACGTATCCTGAAGTTGAATAAAAGCATAACTTATGCCACAAACTTGACTGTAAATATCCGCTAGATAATTAGATAATTAGTCATAATGTTCTTGGTACTTTAACACAGGATACTAAAAACAGCTCCAGATAATGAGAGTTTTCAAAAAATCGATACTAGGAACTGAAATATCGATATTATATCGGGTGGACAAAAATTACATCATATAGGAAAATCGATTTTTAACAGGGGACTGGTGGCCTAGTGGTTAGGTCATTGAAATCCAGAGAGGGAGTGGCTCCCTGAGCAAGAACCTTAACCCCACACTGCTCCCCCGGCGCTGCACAATGGCAGCCCACTGCTCCCCAAGGGGATGAGGTAAATACAGAGAGTTAATTTTGTTGCTTTGTACTTCTGACAATGTAATGATGCTAAAGTAGAATTCTATTTTATTCTTTCTAAATTAGTAAATACTGATTCAGCTGGTTTTGAGTTTGATGGACTCCAGTCGGGTTACTGGAAGTCCTGTCATGAAAGTGGGACTTGGACTTCCCCCCCTCACATCCAACTAGAACTGATAAACACATCTAAAGGTCATAAAATCCATTCATCCCTGCATAACTCTATAATACTTCACAAAGTTGCACATTTATGAAACACATTTTCCCTTTTAAAAAAAAAGTAATTTTTGATGTAATAACATTTCAGAACGAAACCCTCAATGATTAATGATGGATTATTTGCAAGAGGTTCATGAATTTTTGTTTCTTTTTTCTAAAATTAAAATTTTGATGGCTTTTATATGGACAGAACAACACAACAGATTGGAGAAAAAAATAATAACAAAGTCACACATAAAACCAAGCAGAAACTATAGACTTCAGGTTGGTACTAACTACAAACAGAGGTGATGTATTCTTTAAAGAGTGATTATTTTATTTCCAAAAGTTAAATGTAAAATATTGGGTTTCAGCTGATTATAAAATCAATTACTGTGAACTGGTACCCACCATCAGGACTGGATGGACGGTCTGGTAAAGCTGGAGGTAGAGTGGGATAGTCGCCTCCTGCTCTCTTTCCACCTTCAAACATAAAAAAATAAAAAAGCAAAACTAAATTGTTGAATTTTCAACATTAGATATGTGAGTTCACATTTTCTTGTATCCTTGATGTTCTTTCTGCTTTTTATTGCACATCTTACTTGTGGATGAATTGTCTGTGGGTTCTATGTAGTCGTCCTCACCATTGGGATCTGGGTCTATGTAGTCTTCCTGTGGGAAAAAAAAAAGGTGTTCATAGGCATTTAGGAATGTTCAAGGCAGTTTAAATGGCGGCAAAGAAAAGTGCTTTACATCTTTGTCACTATCTGCTTGGGAGGGTTCAGGAGGCAGTTGTCTGGAGGCCTTATCTGGGCGGAGCGGCTTCCTGGGTGGTCGGCTTGGTCGAACATGACAACTGTCTGAAATGAAGAGGAAGAAAGAAGGAAAAAAACATCTCATTTTGCATGACTACATATTTCTGGTGCATTTTGACAGCATTTCTGGAAATTTAAAGAATGTTTATTGCAAAATCATTTGGAAATGATTCATATTTTACAGAAAGGATGAGTCAATAAAACAAATCAGACTAAATTCAGTTCAGTTTATTTATATAGCGCCAATTCACAACATGTCATCTCAAGGTACTTTGCAGTTAGTCAGATTGATTCAAAGTTTTCTATCTAAGGAAAACCAGTTGATTGCATCGACTCATTGACACTCCCTCACACTAAAGGCTGATTTATTCTCAGAAACCAGGTCGTCTACATGTGTGTCACAGACCTCTCCAAAATTGTAATGTGTGCCGCTGACGTGGCATCTGATGGGTCAAATCTACATCAGCTCTACACTATCCATATTTCCTGTTTGGTACCTTACCGGCTTGTTCTGTTTGTATTAGAGATGTCCCGATCCAGGTTTTTGCACTTCCGAT